AGTTAGAAGTAGTAACGAGTAGTTTTAAGCTAATTAATCAACAGTTGATAGTTAGAAGTAGTAACGAGTAGTTTTAAGCTAATTAATCAACAGTCGATAGTTAGAAGTAGTAACGAGTAGTTTTTAACAGTTCATTAATCAAAGTTAGCCAACAGAGGTTATTCCAGCCAACACAGGCTATGCTAGTCAACAGTAGTTATGACAGACAAAAGAAGTTATGTCAGCTAACAGATGTTATGTCAAACAAAATAATTTATGCCAATCAACAGAGGTTATATTTGTATGTAAAGTTACGTGTAACTTGTCTATTCCTGGATGGTCGTAGCGCCTCTAGTTGATCGTTTTGAATTTCGCACAAAGCTATTGGAGGGCAATCGGAGCTGTATGTCCCTAACTTAGCAGTGATAGATTAGAGGGAATATAACACCCTCACGGCTGAAATAGCGAGCGTGATCCTTGACGGGGATTCAAACCCGCTACCCTTAGAATGCGAGTTGAACGCCCAATCCACCAGGGCAGCTTCTAGTTAATCCATATTTTTTTGTTTTTCAAAACTATTAAATATAAGGGATATTTCCTCTCTTGAAAATTCTCAATCTCTGATCTGAACACACCTTCGTGATGTGAATATATGAATATTTTGCGTCGAAAACGATCACTTTACGGTGATATCACAACATCTATAAAACGCCAAATTATGTCAAAATGTAGTTGTGGTACATTCCATTCCATTGTGACTTCATATCGGGTGTGTCAGTTACGTGACTTGCTGATTTGTATATTCAAAATTGTTTTAATATAACGTACACAAACTTCTCTAAATACATTTCGTTAGCTATTACAAAGAAGCGATTATTCTACATTACTTAAAAAAACATATCTATTAAAGACTGTTCGTTATAACTATATGGAACCCTTCGAGTTTTCACCGAAAGTTAGCTCTCATCTCTGAAACTTAAATGAAGGCTATAAAGTATTATTTCTTCAGAAAAAAATAAGAACAGAATATACCAATATAACTGTAATAAAACAATTAACATACCTTGATAGCTTATTTTACTCCTTCATAATTTTTCTGTATCTATTGTTGTTAATTGCTAAGATTGCGACGAACTTGGTGATATACAGTCGCCATCTACCGAAACATGTTAAAACTACAAGTGACTTGATAATGATGGCTGGAGACGGCTTAAATGGGTAATGAAGAAAACTTTAATATAAGTTTAACATGACAGCAACCCTACTCTAAACC